CTTACTTTCTTAACAGAAATCCACCCCTCAGAAAAGTCGTTTTTTTTTCGAAAATGCGATTTTAATTCCCAAACCCAATTAAATTATTATACTTACTGATCATATAGAAAAGAATAAAGGTGGTTCTAAGAGAAAAAATTTTCGAAAAAAATTCATAATTTTTCTAAGCCTATAGCCTTACTTTCTTGGCAGAAATCGACCCCTCAGAAAAGTCGTTATTTTTTCGAAAATACGATTTTAATTCCCAAACCCAATTAAATTATTATACTAACTTATCATACAGAAGAGACTGAAGCTGTTTCTTTGAGGAATTTTTTTCGAAAAAAATTCATGATTTTTCTAAGCCTATAGTCTTACTTTCTTGTAAGAAATCGACCCCTCAGAAAAGTCGTTATTTTTTTCGAAAATACGATTTTAATTCCCAAACCCAATAAAATTCTAATACTTACTGATCTTATAGAAGAGAATTAAGCTGTTTTTTAACCAAATTTTTTTCGAGAAAATCGATGATTTTTCTAAGCCTATAGCCTTACTTTCTTGTCAGAAATCTACCCCTCAAAAAAGTCGTTATTTTTTCGAAAATACGATTTTAATTCCCAAACCCAATTAAATTATTATACTTACTTATCATACAGAAGAGACTGAAGCTGTTTCTTTGAGGAATTTTTTCGAAAAAAATTCCTGATTTTTCTAAGCCTATAGTCTTACTTTCTTGTCACAAATCGACCCCTCAGAAAAGTCGTTATTTTTTTCGAAAATACGATTTTAATTCCCAAACCCAATAAAATTCTAATACTCACTGATCTTATAGAAGAGAATTAAGCTGTTTTTTAACCAAATTTTTTTCGAGAAAATCGATGATTTTTCTAAGCCTATAGCCTTACTTTCTTAACAGAAATCCACCCCTCAGAAAAGTCGTTTTTTTTTCGAAAATGCGATTTTAATTCCCAAACCCAATTAAATTATTATACTTACTGATCATATAGAAAAGAATAAAGGTGGTTCTAAGAGAAAAAATTTTCGAAAAAAATTCATAATTTTTCTAAGCCTATAGTCTTACTTTCTTGGCAGAAATCGACCCCTCAGAAAAGTCGTTATTTTTTCGAAAATACGATTTTAATTCCCAAACCCAATTAAATTATTATACTTACTTATCATACAGAAGAGACTGAAGCTGTTTCTTTGAGGAATTTTTTCGAAAAAAATTCATGATTTTTCTAAGCCTATAGTCTTACTTTCTTGTCAGAAATCGACCCCTCAGAAAAGTCGTTATTTTTTTCGAAAATACGATTTTTATTCCCAAACCCAATAAAATTCTAATACTTACTGATCATATAGAAGAGAATTAAGCTGTTTTTTAACCAAATTTTTTTCGAGAAAATCGATGATTTTTCTAAGCCTATAGCCTTACTTTCTTAACAGAAATCCACCCCTCAAAAAAGTCGTTTTTTTTCGAAAATGCGATTTTAATATCCAAACCCAATTAAATTATTATACTTAGTGATCATATAGAAAAGAATAAAGGTGGTTCTAAGAGAAAAAATTTTCGAAAAAAATTCATAATTTTTCTAAGCCTATAGTCTTACTTTCTTGTCAGAAATTGACCCCTCAGAAAAGTCGTTATTTTTTTCAAAAATACTATTTTAATTCCTAAACCCAATAAAATTATTATACTTTCTTCTCATATCGATGAGAATCAAGCTGTTTTTTAATGAAATTTTTTTTGGAAAAACTCGATGATTTTTCTAAGCCTATAGCCTTACTTTCTTGTCAGAAATCGACCCCTCAGAAAAGTCTTTTTTTTCGAAAATACGATTTAATTCTGAAACCCAATTAAATTATAATTCTTACTGATTATATAGAAGAGACTCAAGCTGGTTCTAAGAGAAAGGAATTTCGAAAAAAATTGATGAACTTTTTAAGCTTATAACCTTATTTTCTTGTCAAAAATCGACCCCTCAGAAAAGTCATTTTTTTTCGAAAATACGATTTTGATTCAAAAACCTAATTAAATTATTTTATTTACTTATCATATAGAAGAGACTCAAGCTGGTTCTAAGAGAAAAATTTTCGAAAAAAATTGATGAATTTTCTAAGCCTATAGCCTTACTTTCTTGTCAGAAATCGGCCCCTCAGAAAAGTTGTTATTTTTTTCGAAAATACGATTTTAATTCCCAAACCCAATTAAATTATTATACTTACTTTTCATACAGAAGAGACTGAAGCTGTTTCTTTGAGGAATTTTTTCGAAAAAAGTTCATGATTTTTCTAAGCCTATAGTTTTACTTTCTTGTTTGAAATCGACCCCTCAGAAAAGTCGTTATTTTTTTCGAAAATGCGATTTTAATTCCCAAACCCAATTAAATTATAATACTTACTGATCATATAGAAAAGAATTAAGCTGTTTTTTAATCAAATTTTTTTCGAGAAAATCGATGATTTTTCTAAGCCTATAGTCTTACTTTCTTGTCAGAAATCGACCCCTCAGAAAAGTCGCTTTTTTTTCGAAAATGCGATTTTAATTCCCAAACCCAATTAAACTATTATACTTACTTATCATACAGAAGCGACTGAGGCTGTTTCTTTGAGGAATTTTTTTCGAAAAAAATTAATAATTTTTCTAAGCCTATAGTCTTACTTTCTTGTCACAAATCGACCCCTCAGAAAAGTCGTTATTTTTTCGAAAATACGATTTTAATTCCCAAACCCAATTAAATTATTATACTTACTTATCATACAGAAGAGACTGAAGCTGTTTCTTTGAGGAATTTTTTTCGAAAAAAATTCATGATTTTTCTAAGCCTATAGTCTTACTTTCTTGTCAGAAATCGACCCCTCAGAAAAGTCGTTATTTTTTCGAAAATGGGATTTTAATTCCCAAACCCAATTAAATTATAATACTTACTGATCATATAGAAAAGAATTAAGCTGTTTTTCAATCAAATTTTTTTTCGAGAAAATCGATGATTTTTCTAAGCCTATAGTCTTGCTTTCTTGTCAGAAATCGACCCCTCAGAACAGTCGTTTTTTTTGAAAATGCGATTTTAATTCCCAAACCCAATTAAATTATAATACCTACTGATCATATAGAAAAGAATTAAGCTGTTTTTTAATCAAATTTTTTTCGAGAAAATCGATGATTTTTCTAAGCCTATAGTCTTACTTTCTTGTCAGAAATCGACCCCTCAGAAAAGTCGTTGTTTTTTTTGAAAATGCGATTTTAATTCCCAAACCCAATTAAACTATTATACTTACTTATCATACAGAAGCGACCGAAGCTGTTTCTTTGAGGAATTTTTTTCGAAAAAAATTCATAATTTTTCTAAGCCTATAGTCTTACTTTCTTGTCAGAAATCGACAACTCAGAAAAGTCGTTATTTTTTTTGAAAATGCGATTTTGATTCCCAATCCCAATTAAATTATAATACTTACTTATCATCTCGAAAGGCTCTAGCTGGTTCTAAGAGAAGAAAGTTTTGAAAAAAATTGATGAATTTTCTAAGCCTATAGTCTTACTTTCTTGTCAGAAATCGAACCCTCAGAAAAGTCGTTATTGTTTCGAAAATACGATTTTAATTCCCAAACGCAATTAAATTATCATACGTTTTTATTATAAAGAAGAGAATCAAGCTGTTTGTAAGAGAAAAATTTTCGAAAAAAATCGAATATTTTTCCAAGGCTATAGCCTTTTTTCTTATAAATAATCGACGCCTCTATAAAGTCGTTTTTTTCGAAAAAAAAAACCCATTTTATATAAGCGAATCACGCTTATGTTAGTTGAAGAAAATTTCGAAGAAATTGTCGATTTTTTTTCTTATTCTAGATATTCAGTCAGGTTGACAAAAAAAATTCACTTTTGCCTTAGTTCTTAGCGAAGAATTGATCGACAAGAAAACTAACTTGTTAGTCAAAAAGAGCTTTGATGACTTCGTTCTAACGTTTATTAGCGTCAAAGAACGAGAAAAAGAGATGTGGTGTTTATTATAATAATTTTCACCCTCAATAATCCACAGTTTTGCCAAGCCAATAGCCCTTTTTGGCCAAAAATACAATCCTTGCTGAATTTCCATTGTTCTTTATATGAAGTCAATAATACATAAAATAATGCTATTCAAGCTCTTTTTCGCTGAAAAAAATTGTTTTTTCTGAGCCAATCTTTCGCTAAAAAGTAAGGCAATATGCTTGGCAAAAATGTTGATTTTTGAAAACGGGATTTTTTACGCCAAACTTGGCTGGATCTCTATTTTTTCTTGACATCAATTTAATAATCTTTAAAGCAAAGCAAACCAAGTTTTTTTCATTGAAAAAATTGGTTTTTATGTCAAGCCAATTTTTGCCAGCCAAAATTGTCGATTTTGGAAGGTCAAATTCTTTATTCTAAACTTTCTGAATATTTTCGTTTTTTTAATGTAACGTTAATAATCTTTGAAAGAAAGCAATTGAAGCAACCTTTCCTTGAATAAAATTTAGTTTTTATGTCGAGCCTTTTTTCGCCAAAAAGTACGGCTATGCTTGGATCATTACTCATGGCCGGGGTTGGGGCCGAAGAGAAATGCTTGCCTCCAGGAATTTAGTTTCCCCAACATGAAACCATTATTAATTTTTTCTACCCAACGATATCCTAGTCATATTTTCTTCCTACCCAACCTAAAGCTAAAAATAGGAAATATCACAATTCAATGTAGCCTTCTCAGAATCTACATGTGTGCCTCGATTATTTGTCTTACATCTATCTATACCATGCATACTAATAGTCTACATTGCTAATGCAATTGGAATAATTTCGAGTTACCTGCCACACGTCCAAAACGGGTTCTCACAATAAGAGAAAGAGTTTCATTGTCATCGTGACCTCCAGGATCCTCCTCATCTGAAATTTAACTGGCTCCAAATTCTTCAACACCAAGATCTCCTTCACTGTCGCTATCGTTTTCATAATGACTGTCAATAACACTGATATCTGGTTCGTTTTCTGGCATTACTTTCCTTAAAATTACACCCTCTTGAGTTCTCCTGAGTACCTCTGCAGTTATTGCAGCCATCCTGTCTGCTTTCTTCCCTTGCTTACTGAGCTGTCTGCTTTCTTCCCTTGCTTGCTGAGACCGTACTTATTGAGGTATTTATCCAATTCCTTAACAGTCAAGTCTTTTAGTTTTCCCTTCATTACTAAATCCAGCCAGTCATAGCCATGACAACCTTTTCTGTCCTCAGATCTCTGTTTGCTGCTTTTTGCTTTTTTATTTCGTACAGATTCTTTGTTAAAAGGGTTGTATTTTTAAAGTCACTTGGGGATTACCCACAATGCAAATCTTATGTTAAAGCTTATCTTTATAAACTTTGTTGAGAAATATTTTGAGAAACTGAAGAATCCAGATGTTGCTAGTTAGCCATTGGAAAACATTTATAGTACAACACCAATATTCTATATATACAAACTATTTTATGTCTGATGAAAGTAGATAGAAAGATAACAAGAAATTTTCTAGACAATTGTTAATTTTCAGGCCATTATTGGTAATAAAATTTTTGTTGCATTAAACTGTATGAGGTAAGGTAGATGGCTACTTTTGATGAAATGTCAATTCTAAATCAATTGTTATACTCAAGTATTTCAAGCACTTCTTCTTTACTCGACCCTTTTTAGGCAATATTTTCCCACTACCCAACTAAAAGCTTGTCAAATATTTGTTTACCCAACTATTTTCTCTTCGGCCCCAACCCTGGTCTGGGGCCCACTTCTCGAATGGGAACACTTTGGTCACAATAGAAGCTCGATCTAGTCTTATTTAATGATCAGTGGGTATACCAGGATGGTAACAGAAATAAACTTGAAAAGTAGGTTCAATGCCTGACTTTCACAAGGGGGATTACTGAATGGCTGCATTGTCCGGGGCAGTATGATATGAAACAGAAAATTAAAAACAAACTCCAAAGCAAACAAAGAGAGATATGAACTTAAGAAAATCTTGGTGTAGCCCCAAACTACGCAAATAAATATCGTTATAGTAAAGGAGTGACACTACACATACTACTACTGAGATTTATTAAATATTTGTTGCCTTCTGTAAATCTAGCTTTTCAACATTTTGAAATTTTTAGAAGCTTTGCATCAATAGCAAAACGTATTTTTGGTAAAGTTTAATAAATTTGAGCCTTCCATATCATCTGAACCATTTAGGCACCTTTCTGTCCGAACTCCCATCAGCTTTCGAAGGCATGAACTCTGAAGCAGTGGGTTTTCTCTGTGTCTCCGTTGCCGTCGTTTCGCGAGAGCTACTAGTAGTTGGTGCAGACACATCGCTTGATTGCAAACTGGGTGCTTTTTTATCGGTATTCCTAGAGTGGCAGTCATTCAAATTCTGTCAACAGTACATACTTATTTTCGGCAGCATAAAATACTTTTTATCAATTTTTTCTAGTATATAACTAACTCCTTTTTTTCTGTTTGTCTTGTTTATTCTTGCAAAGTGAATAGATTAGAAGTTGGTTGTATGAATTCATTTTCCTTTTTTTACTAATTCTAATTTACTAATTCTTTTTCTTTCAGTACTACGTCTTTTTTGAGCTAGCTGTATGAAAAGTTACCGTTCACCGAAAGTTACCATGTCCTCAAATAGCGAGAAAAAGTCATAAGCCGCCAGTTTGTTTCTGTTATTAACTAACTGAAGGTAACATAGTTATCAAATATATATTGTTATTGGTAAATATACATTGATATATATTGGTAGTATTGATAGAGGACGTGGGATGGATAATCTTATTTCAATTTTACTTGGATATAGTAATTGGCTCTCTCTACGTCATTAACTCTATTCATTTCTAGAGATCAGGGTCGCCTCGTAGCACGCTAATTGACCGTTCGGAACCGAATCAATAATTAGCACACACTAAACCTTCGAATAGCTCCTATGAAGCGTTTATAAGCTGCATCAAATGAGATAAAAATAAAACATACCTTTTCTTCAAAATATCAAAAGCCTTGTTTTCTGCTTCTAAATAGGAAACAGCTTCTTCAATTAGTTCATTTCGTAGGACCAATTCTAAAAAAAATAAGAAACAATATGTTTATCTGGAAATAAAAGGAGGAAAATCAGTTTTACCTAGAGAACAAACGTATAGAGAATGGTTCTTGGTCAACGTGAAGTGATAGAGAGGAATCTCTTTGACTCTTGGTCAGAGGTCTGTCAGAGGGCCAGAGGTCTGTCAGAGGGTCAGAGGTCTGTCAGAGGGTCAGAGGTCTGTCAGAGGGTCAGAGGTCTGTCAGAGGGTCACAAGTCTGTCAGAGGGTTAGAGGTCTATCAGAGGTTGAAAAGTCTGTCAGAAGGTCAGAGGTCTGTCAGAGGGTCAAAAGTCTGTCAGAGGGTCAGTGATATTAATATCTTTGGAAATATTAGAATGAGATAGAGAGGAATGCACAATGACAAGGAGGACAACGATTACTACGACTGGTGATGGTTGGTTATGATGATGTGATGATGATGATGATGATGATGACAACGATTAAGTTGATGATTATGATGACGACCAAGGTGAAGATTAATCGATGATTATGATCAAGATGGCGATGCTGCAAGATACAAAATAGTGATCCCTTACCTGAGCTTTGCGTCGAGGATACATGCACAAGGGCAGCTGGAATCAATTTTGCCTGAAAAACAAGATTTTCGTAAGATCAAGATCTTTACAAAAAAGGTTTGATTTCGATGGATTCAAAACCATTAACATAAATGGTAAAGACGTTTTACTACACTCTTACTTGATGAAGTGTTTGCTTGTCGTCCTTAAGTAAACATTTAGGAGGTGTAGTATCTGAAAAAAGAGGCTGAAAATTAAATCCTCATAAACAGCTCATAAAAGTATAAACCTTATAATAATGTATATGCTTTGAATTTCGCTAAATATACTCTTCACTGATAATTTAATTTTTGAAAAAACAACGAAGCCAATTATTTAAAAATACTTCTTTGTACTGGTCATCAAAAACAGCAACGGAAGATGTAGGTCAGGGGTGATATTAAAAGTTACGAACTTATGTAGCAAAAATATAATTAGGCAAATTAAATTAAGAAAAAACTTAAAACTTTTCTACTTAATACTTTAAAACAAATTCTCAATTTCAAAGTTCAAAGTTTTGGCTACAGGGCTACAAAGTACTACTAGTATTGCATTGCAACATTGATTTGTGACTGGTATTTTTATACCTTAAAAGGAAGATGTAAAATACAAAAGGCATCATACTAATTTTAAACTAATCTAGTTTATGAAACACTTACATAAATGAAAATTGTCAACACTATTTTGTAGATGTTCTCTAACAAACTGTTTAACGGCTCCAACTGAAACAAAACAAGATGATATAAATTTATCGCTTAATGGTCAGCAACCTTGCAATTGCTGGTGATGTTTGTTGAGATATTAAAAATTATGAAAATAACTGGGTTCATATCGATTTGTTCTCAAATCTAAATTTGGAAGAAGAAGAGTAAATAAAAACTTAAGCATAAAGGCAGCGAAGAAAATAACCTCAACAGTCATTGCAGAGAAATATCAAGGAATTGTTTGTCAAATTCGCCCTTCTTAAGATGAGAGAAGCTTGCTCTACACATTTTGTACATAACCAATAGTAGCCTTCTCAATTCTGGTTATCTTATCAGCAAAGGTATCATTATAGCAAACCGGTAATCTCTCAATCTCGCTATATCAATTACTGAACAAGGGCAAGTCTCTGTTTCTGCTACAATCTACCTTCTAGTTAACTTTTCATAAATGAAACGGTCTGGTATTAGTGACATTCTGCAACCATGACAATTAAATATCCTAAATCACTTCAAAAACGTCATCAATTTTTTTTCGTGAATGAAGTTATACCAACCCAAAAAAATATAACACAAGCGAACCTATCAAGGCATAATTTAAAAAAAATGAAATCTTGAATCCAATTTGCAATGTTAATTTCACAGAGAGAGATTCATATTTAACTAGATTTGAAGAAATTACGGAAAGGCGATTACACATATTTCTAAACTACAACTTTGAAACAAGACCTCGTAAACAAATACACGAACAAGACTTTGCACAACTCATAGCTCTTATAAAAATTAGTATGAGAATATTTTTCCATTTTACAAATAATCATTATATCGAGAGAAAGGTCAAGCATTGGGAAAACAACAGAAAACGTACCGGGCTCCAGGGGCCTGAAAACTCCTTGCAAGACAAACTTATCTGGAAACTGAACTCTGATGATAACCTAAGAAGGAAAACGATGCAAAATTATCCAAGTGAATCTTTCCTAATTGTGGCAACGTTCAATCGTGGGATGATTTCTAGACAAGAAAACGACTGGCGAGGGCACTGCATACAAAAATCACTTATCAGTAAAAGACATTGTCAATCTTAAAATACACAATTGCAGCACTTACAAGGGTGCTTGGCAACTTATTTAATATTTCCTAAAAATGGCAATATAAAATTAAGTTATTTTATTGAAGTTCATGTTTGGGGAGGGGGTGCGTAGGGCAGAGAGAAGTGACAAACATTTGTTGCTTCCGATTAAACTCTTTACTCTGAAGGAAATATAACATAAGCTAGCAAATATTGAGGGGTGTTATTAATAAGCACAAATATTGTAACAAAAGTTTTCTGAAGAGTTTGAGCAACAGGCAAAATAAGAATATTTCGTGTGGTGAGCCATTGTAAAAAAGGTTTTTTGGAGGTTATCTATTAAAAGTATTATAAAACCAGCTACATATTTTTTCCCCAAAACAAGAAACTATAGAAATCATATGCTTCCAATGAACAATCCATTTTGCTCTAATTATTTTCAAACAATGTTGCCCTTGAATAATGTTTTTCCTTCCTGCCGAAGTGGTGAAGACATATATATATTTGTTAAGCTCGAAACGATATGCAAAGTTTTTTAGCAGCAAAATACGGGGATACCTTTTTGTACCGCATAGCCTTTTCCAAATCTTTCGTGCGTCTCATATTTTTTGTCATCAACGGAGTCTCTTCCCTATGGAAACATGTTGAGAATAAAAGAAAACTTCTTCAGATAAAATAAGCCGTAAAATCTATTTAAACCACAAATGACTGTAAAAACAAAACAAAATTCAAATAAGAATTTAAATTTAAAGAAAAAAGGCTGGAAAAGACAAAAGTAAAACGATAAATTTCCAAGAAAAAACAAATATATTTCCTGAAAACTGCAAAAGGGCCTGTCCGGGAGTTGAACCCGGGACCTCTCGCACCCTAAGCGAGAATCATACCACTAGACCAACAGGCCGCACAACAAGACCCATAAAAAGACGGTAATTGAAATGATTGTATGACGTTTCTGGTTACTAAAATTGCTTTGTTTTTCTTAGATTTACTGAATTATACAATATTTCATAAATTATTTGCCTTATATCAACTTCAATTTGCGATTTGAATATTTCCTTTATTCAAATAAAAGGCATACAAAATTAGATGCGTGCATTTAATTTGCACGGAAATCACGCAATAAAACAAGGGGAAAAAGGAATTTTTATTTTCTCTCCTCAGTTTTACTATGAAACCAAGCCATGTAAATAAAAAGTTTTATTATCGCTTCACCTCCCACAAGATGCTACACTTGGATTACCAAAAACTACAGAGGCACCACTTATATGCGAAAGATATTACTAGAAGAAAGACAAAACCAAGCAAGTATATAGGTTACGATTGGAAGTTTGTATGGAGAGTTAAAACAATTGTCTATTTTCCGGTTGTATTGTTCTGGTAACTTTAGCACTGTGTCAACAGTTAATAACTTTATATCTATGCTGCAATCAGCTTTACTCTGTAGCAAATGGTTGGCGAATAAAACATGGAATGATGTTTGAAAATGTCAATATGACATAAATTGATGTTTGACAAAGTAAATTTTTTCAATGTATATTACAACAGCGTTTAATGGCACACCAAATGATGTGGCCATCATTAGAATGGGGAAATATACTAATTCTTGAAAATATTCCACTGAAAAAAGCAAGAAACTCCACAGAATTGTGTAGTTTTGTTACCAACGCTGAACAATTCTGAAAAAACCTGTATCAACTTCAAAATACCTAACAAAGGTATTGATGCAGCTACCCCAGGGCCTCATGAATCCAGGGATAAAATATTGATGGCTGCAGTGGCAAAAAATGTATTTTTCTTTGACTGGTTTGGAACTTTATTTCGAGAATAAAAAATTGAGTCTCTCGCACCCAGGGTATGATACTGAAGTTCTAAATATATTGTTGCATAACGACTTATCATAGTAAAAAGGGTTTTGAAATTAATGTTGTCTATATGTATACTTGAAAAGAAATTGTGAAAGGTGTTAACTCACGATGCTCCTGTCTTCAAGGAGTGAATCCGCATACGTATGTCCTCGATTGTGACGTCATAAAAGCTTTCATCAATATCTAAATAAGATGCAATTACCTAACAACTTAACCATAAACTGGAAAAGATTTTACGAGTAAAAGATAAAAAAGGCCTCCGTTTTCATTAGAACATAGATGTGAGATGCTCAAATTAATCAAGGATACACTTTTTTTATAAGGACAATTTTATAAGAACACGAGCCTCAAAACTGTTAAAAAGGTAAGAACAAATTAAGAACAAACTGAGGCTGAGCTTCTGCAAATTGCAATTTTTAACAACGTTTTTTCTCAAAATCGAGGATTTTTAGCGATGTGTGGGTGCTTTTTGCGGTGAATATTCAAATTTGTCAGCAAATTAAGGCTGTCTCACTCACTTTGTTGGCAAATGAGGCCTGAACACCTCCTTAGAGCAAAAAAGCTAGCAATAGCACTGCTTATACCCTCTTAATTTAAGAACAAATTAAGAAAAATCCAGCCTCAGATTTTCGAAATAAATTAAGAACAGTCAGCCTAAACTTAAATTTACTGGTTCTTATAAAAAAGAGTGTACCCAAAGAGCTCTAACTCTAAAAAGGTTGTAACAACATTATTTTCTGCAGGTAAAGCTACAGGCTTCTGATAATCTCATACTGGAGGGACATTTCAATGGCAAAACCACACTTTAAATTATAAGCTTTGTAATAAGGCAACGAAGACTCAGAGAAGAAGCAAGTATACACAAACAATTTACATACATTGGATTAACATTCAACATATATGAAGCAGTTAAATTTCATACATACCTGCTATCTGTTCTTTTTTAACTTCTAGGTAATTGAGATTAAATACAAGAGCCTCTCTTTGGCAAGGTATAGTCAGCCTCTCTTCAGCCAGTCTAGAGTGAATAAAGGATAGAAAATAACTGTATAACCAGATGCAAATCTGTAAAAATGAAGCGGCGAAAAACACACAAAAGGGTGAGGATATTTGTTCTGGAATGCGCTCCAGTACACAAATGTGCCAGCATAATTTGCTCACGTTTCTCAAAACCTGACTAAATTCTGCTTCAATGATGATCATTGGCGATTGATGCCAATGATTGAAGAATATGATTGATGAAGAAGACTGAATACCATTTTTGATGATTGAGAACATTAATAATGATGATAATCGAAAAAGATTATTGATGATGAAGTTGATTAATGATCATGATTGAGGATCTTACTGGTGATCATCTTTGATTTTGACTATGGTCATAATTATTTTCAACGTAAAATGATTAAGCGATTGGAAAGCACGCAGGACACTCTGACGATTGGTTAACACCCTCTTTTCATATAAATATCGTCACGAGATTTTTTTAAACCAGTTTTAGTTTTTTGCTTCGACATGTTTAAGTACAGAGCCAAGTATGGCGCAATGCTTAAATTTGTGGTCAAGGAGGAATTAAATCGGGCTTAACAATCAGATTTTAGAACAGCTGCTGGTTGAATAAATCATGATTGTTACGCGTAGTATGTCGTTGATGTTCATTAATCTGTTGAACTGCCAAAGAAGTGAATGGAGAAGTATCAACTGTAGGTTACTAAACTCCAGAAAGCCTTGCGAGAAAATATTGCAACAACGCCTCGACAAAATGACCCCACGAGATAATTTTATATTTTTGTGTGTTCAACAAATCTTGTTTGGTCCGCGACCTAAAGTGTATTTTTATTTTGGCCTCCTTACAATTGTGCTTGACACCCCTGCCTTATACCAAGGACTGCCGATAGCAGTTGTGCAAAGTTTGGCGAAAAATGCTAAGCTACGATTGATGACGTCACTAAGATATTTTATCGCAACTAGACAAGACGGGACCGTAACTCCTTTTGGAATTTGTGTGCTAGATAAGGAAAATAAATTTATCAAATAAAAGTTAAATAAAAACTCAGAGCGGAATGAAAAGGAAGGAACACACTTGATAAAGATGGCTAGAACAACGACCCAATTCAAACACGACCCCCCCTGGAAGATCAGCAGCAACCTAGCTTTTGATATTTTATATTTTATTTATAAGCTGTATGTAAACGTTCAGTTAATAGAACTTGTACCCTAATCATCAGCAGTCTATCAATTGTATTATAAGAAATACTGAAGAGATATTCGTGTAGAAATAATTTAAAATGAAACAAAAATGAATAAAGCAAAGAGTAGTTCTCAGGTTTTGAGTTTTCAAAACTTTGCGATAAATACATTGTGTAAAAATGTATTTGATGCATACAACGTTGACAACTGTTAGAGGCAGAGAAGGAATTGAGGGAAGAGAGGGAAAAGTGGAAGAAGTGGGAAGGAGTGGGAAGAAGTGGGAAGAAGTGGGAAGAAGTGGGAAGAAGTGGGAAGAAGTGGGAAGAAGTGGGAAGAAGTGGGAAGAAGTGGGAAGAAGTTGGAAGAAGTTGGACCGAAGTTGGAAAGAAGTTTGAAGAAGTGGAAAGAGTGGGAGAGAGAAAAGAAAAAGAGAGGGAAGCAGTGGAAGAGGGGGAAGAGAGGGGGAAAGAGGGGGAAGAGGGGGAAGAGGGGGAAGAGGGGGAAGAGGGAAAGAGGGAAAGAGGGAGAAAAGATGAGTAGAGGGAAGAGAGGGAAGAGAGGGAAAAGGAGGAAAGAGGGAGGAGAGGGGAAAGTGGAAAGGGGGAGAAAAGAGGGAAAAGCGGGAGAAAAGGGAAGTGAGGGAGAAGAGGGAAGAGTGGGAAGAGGGAAAATAGAGGCGGAAAAGAAAAAAGAGTGCAAAAAGAGGAAAGAGAGGTAAGAGTGGGAAAAGAGAGAAGCTAGGCCAAGTTTCGGACGGGGACGTGCCATTTTGGTCCCAAATTTGGACCCATAATTCCGCATATGTCTGAAAAAATGTGACCCAAAATTCTGTAAACATCATGAAAACTAAACCCATAATTCGACAAGACAAATAACATTATTAAAACACAACAAAATCATGAAACAAATGTCTTTTGCCCCAAATCTAAACATTACATATATTTCATATTTTCATTTCTAACTGAACATTCATTTTGCTGATGCTAAAGTTCCCTCCGAATAATTTTGGAATATTTTCCCAAAATGGTACCTATTGCAACATGCTTCGCAACAGTACCCATTATTCTGCACAGATTTAAAAAAACTGAAACCGACAATTCTGCACTTCTCAGAAAAAAGGTACCCTTTAATAAAGGCACGTCTCCGTACCCCAAGACCTATTGAGGTAACCCAACCCCCCTCCCCGAGAAGGGAAGAGGGGGAAGAGAGGAAAAGAGTGAAGAAAGGGAAGGAAGAAAAGAGAGGAATGAGAGAAAAGAGAAGGACAAAAGGGAAGAAAAGGAGTGATGATAGAAAAATGATTGTCTTGCATTACACTAGGAGAAGCTAAATGAAAAGTAAAGCAAAGAAAACATTTCATACGATAAAGCAACATTTTATATCAAGAAAGAGAAAAGGAATCTCATACATCTGTTTCGGATTTACTGCCTGAACTTCCTCCACTCCGTCAGCGGTCGCGTCTGGAAACTAGTATCAAGTTAAAAATTAAAACAGTTAGATGCGTAGAATAATAAGTTGTTTTAAGCATGAACATCTTTGGGGTGACAAACTTTTAGACGGAAATTTTCTGGAAATAAAAATTGTCCGAAAATAAATTAAACCAACGGGTTTTGACAAAATGCGCAATGGCAAAACACCTGAAGTGTGACGATGTATTCAATGTTTTAGCCAAAAGAGGGGGGGGGGGCAACATTTTTGGATATGCTGATCTGTATATTGCAATAGGAAAAAAAGGTCATCTTCATCGCCTATGAAAAGTCACCCTCGGATTCTTTCTCGTCTATCCCACCAGTTTAAAGATATTCAATAAACTTCACGTCGTAATCTTCTTCCGTAATATCATGCAGTTGTGATATCAATCGCTTGTGGATGAAGTACTTCCAGTAACGGTGAAAGGAACAAGAGAAGGTCGAGACACCACGACAATTGTCACATCAATAATCAAAAATGAAATTTGGTCCTGTATATCTAACGAGGTCACGCATTATTTTTTACCTGTCTAAATTCAATACGAATGGTGGATGAGGTAAAAGTTTTTTGGCAAGAATTCTTTGTGACGTAATTCCACGATTTTGAACGTGTCTTACGTAACCACAAATTAGTCAGCTCAAAGGGCATAGCCTAAAAACATTTATTTGTCCCCAAAGATCGCGGTGGCTAGCACCGCAACCAAAGCAAACAGTAGAATGTATTAGCACGAATGAATTGGAGATACAAAATCAAAGTTCACAGGAACAAAAATATAATATAAATCTCTGCATGTCCTTGCATAGACGCAAGAATGCTAACTGATAAAATGAAACCTGATCTTGTTTACATGCCCTTGCATGCAACAGTACACTTGGATTGATAAGCGTTTGAATTTTTAACTGTCTGAAAAGGTGAATAGCAAAATATCCTTCGGCTCTATATCGTTTGTATTTAAAGTGTCGTATATGATTCACATAAGGAGGAAGTGTAGAGGATGTTAGAAGTGCCAGCCCATTGAATTCAACAATACAATAAAACTGGATTATTAACCAGTCCTATTTACACGAGTCTCTGGCCAGGCCGGTTAGACGCAATCTGTGATAAAGAGAAAAGGATTTCAGCCGACAAAGATTGGAGCAAACAATAGAATAACAACTTATTTTGTTTTTACACTCTCAGGTTTTCAACTTTAGCTTATTTTTCGGTTACATGGCATGTAAAAAAAACGCCAGTCGACCGGTATCAGTTTTACTGAGGACCGAAAACGAGCCTTCAAATCATAGTTTGAATTTACAGCAACAATCAACCCAGTTCCCTCTTTCACCTCCTTCAGTTCCTAGTTGCAGAAATGTCTGTTTATCCTCTTTTCTTTCAATTTAAACGCCAGTGAAAGAGTTATGCGCCGATAAGGTTTATTGGCAGACAATATTCATTACCCCTCACCTTAAACTGCTGGAATGGTCGAACGGTCTGTGTCACTCTGTGTATGTCCTCGTCTTTAAGGGCCTCGGCCAGTGGCACACCACCAACGTCTGGTGCCTTTTCGACGGAGCTCTCCTCTTGCAGTTTCGGCCTTTTTTGTGAGGGCTCTATTATTAAAAAATTTTTTTTAAAGAAAGAAACTTTCAAGGGAAGAAACTTTCGTAAATCGCTAACATTTGATCCGCAAACTTCCCTAAAGTACGAAATTCGCGAAAGTTTATTCTCGCAAAATATCCTGAGAACTATACCTTTTATTCTCTTGGATACCTCGATGTCGAATGATTGTTTTAAACAATTTTCAATATTGTTTTCGCTGGTTTGTTGGCGTTAAGTGGGATAAAAATAGAAGGAAAATTCAGTTGAATAGATTTTTTTTCGCAAAAATTTGCGACTTCTACTAAATCGCGAAAGTTTATTCTCGCCAAAGATCCTATTTCGCTTCTTTCGTGCAAGGAAATTCCAAAAATTTTGCGCTTTTCTATTCTTCTTGAGAAACCTCCTTCTCTTACATATAAAATACTTAACAGTATTTA